ATGGGAGAGACGTCATCACGCCTTGGTGTCAAAGCCCACGAACCAGGAATGAAGACCGGATGAAAACTGAAGCCCTATCAGGGGTGACAGCGCATAATGCATACTAGCACATTATGACATTACCTTGCAAGGAGATTTTTTTTTTGTAAGTCAAGCCTACTACCGATTTAAAGAGACCGGTACTTCTTCTGTTGTGTGCACTGTCCTCCTGGCCACTACACCACTAGTATTTCCCTTCAGAGCTAAGTGCGTTTTATTATACTGTGTTTGACTTGAGTATAGAGTATGCTTCAGATCCCTTTCACATGGGTGGTTTGATCAGGTTCGCTTGTCAGACTTTCAGGTGGTCCTGATCAGAAGTTGCATGCAAGTCTATGGGCAGGTAGGTGTGAACAGACATACATCAACTTACATCTGATTACCTCCAGGTCTATCCTGCAAAAAATATAAAAGGTCTGCGTCCTGTTCCGTTTTTTTCAGTCTGAATGTGTTAGACCGGAGGTAGTCAGAGGTAAATAAACTCAAATCTGTTTACATCCGGCTGCCCATAAACCCATTATCTGCAAAGAGTCTGCAAAGCTCCTGCAGAAAAAAACTGAATGATGGACACCAATGTCACAAAATGCACATATGCTGCATTCTGCTCCAATTCAGCAGAGGACCTTTTTGCGGATCATCTGTTGATCAGACTGGACATGGCCTGTGTGAAAGGGACCTTACTTGTAGGTTTAAAATACAGATTTGAATTTACTTTGATTGTGTTGGGTAGATGGCCATTCTGAGGTTGTATTTGGCCTGTTGTGTTTTGCATTTGTCTGAACACAATTGGTCATTTCGGATCTTCTTGTCTTGCAGGAAAAAGCAGGTCAAATGCAGCCTATAATCCCGGTCCACCCAATAGTTCTGGCTATTATTTTGAGAGCAAGGAAGGAAAGAAAGAGTAACGCCATTTCTTAATTATACAACACATGTTCATATCAATGTGACATTGAACAGGTGGGTTTGTTTAAACTGCACTCTGCAGCTGCTCTGGATCTACTATATGATACTAATATAATTTGGTGACTTATGCACTTTGTAATCACACAGACCCAGACAGATACAACAAGTGGATTTTACGGATGGATAATATCGTATGTACAACATCTTGATTCCGTAGACGATGCACACTGGATAGCAGGGTATTGCACCTACAGGTGCACAGTGTAATATTATATTTGTTCACTGAATATAGTTATGTAGAGGTATCTCGTTGTACGCCATTTTGTGCTACTGTTAAAGCCCAATTGTAGTTTTAAAAAACTGATAGCAGTTCATTACTTTTGATATGCTGCGCAAGCTTTTTGATATCCCTCTTCGTAAGTACCATCGCTACCGACAGATTAGACACGTTTTTGATTCACATTTTGGCCTTGTACCATCCTCCCCGATTTCCTTTTTTGAACATGTCAGCCGTGACTCTCCCAGAGGAAGGGGCCTTATTTCTGATCTTTATAATCAATCTTTGACTTTCTCCTACACCCCCTTTATACAGACAGAAATGGGAGGTGGATAGTGGCATCACCTTTTCGGATGAGGATTGGGATTCCATGGTGGATAACATATGTAAGTGCTCTAGATCCCTTTCTGTTCGTGAGACGGCCCTTAAGGTTTTGACCAGATGGTATTATACCCCATCAAGACTACATGTACTGTTCCCACAAACATCCCCCCTCTGTTTCCGGGGCTGTGGCCTTACGGGAACTTTGGTTCATATATTTTGGGATTGCCTGATGGTATCTGTGATTTGGTGCAAGATATCTGAGGTGGCTACCTCACTGGCGGGTACCCAGGTACGATTGTCTATGCAGACCTGCTTACTGGGGGCTCATATCCCGGGGGTCTCTGATGCCATTATGAGATTGATACATACTATATGTATTGCCACTTTATGGTCTATTGCCTTGCACTGGAAGTCCAATGCTGTACCCTTGACCTCCGTCTCACACAGAATTGATACTGTAATGCTCATGGAACGCATTCATTATACCCTATTGGATAGGATGCACTTATTTGATAAAAAGTGGGAGTCATGGAGGGATTGTAGACATCTATTGCATGATTAATAACATTCCCAGTGAAAGTCGTATGGCATATACTGTTGACAGATGTATCATTTAATCTACCTCATCATTTACACATTTCATGTTTCTGCAATCTTAATTTTTCTTTTCTTTTTCTTTCTTACATTAATATACTTCTCTGTATTGTACTATTCAAAAGTGCCTTGTTATTGTTGAACGTTCTATTTGACAATGTGCTGTTGTTTTACAGTCTACTTTTATGCAATAAAATCGTTTGTAAACAAAAAAAAAACTGATAGCAATAAACTGAGGGTGTATCAAAACAGTAATTTTTTTTTTATTACACCAAAAATATCCTGCATTAAAGTGTCGCTTAAAAATAGCTTAAGATCTGACAAAAATCTAAACAATCACCAAATAAAAGATATCAGCACTCACTACACATACCAATACAAATAGATCTAGCAAAATAAATGTGTCTAAAAGTGCATAAACCAAATAATTGCATGCATATGTTATTAAATGCTGAAATCATAAATTAAATTAATGAATAAATAAATAGTCCCAAAAGACATGAAAGTTCATGAACAAAGTGGAGGAATATTTACAAAGTGTTGCTCTATTTGTGCGCCTAGACACGGTCCTGGATATCCTGTGCCTCCACTCTTCACCACTGTGCACTCCACCAAGAGGGATACTGAAGCCTCTTACCAGAAACGTAGACCTCTATACAGAAGGTCTAACCGCACTTAAGGGAGAGAACCCTCACTTGATGAATGGATATTGTTGAAATTCACACACATTTATATATTTTTGTGAGCATGCTAGTATAATAGATTATTTTTATTTGAGCATCACAGAATTTTCAAATGTAAATAAGTAGTGATTGTTTGCAACACATACAGCATTTATTTCATCATCTCAACATTGAAAACAACTCTAATGGGCCTTTGGTATATCCCACTGTGGTCCAAAACAAAAATTATTGAGGAAGAAGACTACAATTCTCTCTACTTGTCCTTGTATTGCCTTTCCCACACTCCAAACAATGAGTCACCTGAACCCACCCTTGTTATTATAATATCAATAGTACTAGAGCCCCATGGATTAAATAGGCTCTCTATGATTAAATGATGCTCTCCTCTTTCCCATACTCCAAAAATCAATTGGCACTCAGAGGTTCGAAAATGAGGAGTCAAACTTCTGCCTTCCAACGCAACGTTAACCCTTGATTGAGTTTTTGCTTTGTAGTGGAGGGTGACAGATGCAGAGGATTTAATTGTCGCCACTTTAAAATAAAATACGAGCATTTCTAAAATGAAGGCAACAGAGAAAATTTAAATGTCTTGCTAGTAAGTAATGTAACCTCAATTGGAGCATAAGGACATCTATAGAGGGAATTAATAAAAAGCGTCCAACACAAAGTTCTTAGATCCAATCCAAAATCCCATGTTCATAAATTAAATAAATATAAATAAGTAAATAATAAATAATAAAAAAATAAACAAATAAAGGAATTAAATCCTTAAAAAAAATAATAAAAATCTTCCTAGGTACCAACAAATACATTGCATGTTCTTGATGGCCTTTGCTTTTAGGTTCCATTCACACTAGGGCGTTTCAAATCGCGGGCAGAATCGCAGCAATTTGAAAATGCGCTGTGAAAGTGTGATGAAAAGGGGCACTCACGTGTTCAGGTGCCATTAATTTCAATGGCACCTGAAAATGCAGGCCATTTTTGCCACAATCGCAACACATTTTTCCATGTGGCAAACACGCCGTGATCGCGCAAGCAAAATCGATTGATGCGCAACGCCCAAAATCGGTTCTGAAACCTTTCTTGGAAGTCGCGCATCCCGCAATTTTGTTTGCATGATTTGATGCACTGAAAATCATGCCGCAGTCATGGCAAAAACACCATGCATTTTCAGGTGCCATTAAAATGAATGGCACCTGAACAAGCAATTGTACGTGTTCACATTTTCACAGCACGTTTTCAAATCGCGGGCAAAATCGTGTCGATTCCGTCCGCGATTTTAAACGCCCTAGTGTGAATGAAGCCTTACTGTGTCATACACTTGAGTAAACGAATGCAATGTCATTCAGAAAATAATGAACACAAATCTATGATAAAAATTTTGTCATCGTATTAACTTTTGCTACAAACACAACTTGAAGTTGTGTTGCAATGTAAATATAGGGGGTACAAATATTAGAAATGTCAAATTTACAAAGACAAACGCTATTATACAGCGCTCTGAACATACTGGAGATCAGTATATTCACTGATCTCCAGTGAGTGGGCCTCACTTGAGGCTCGCTTTATTTACTAAATTCACTACCACTGGTCTAATTAATAATGATAACAGCCTTATACAAGAAGGAGCAAACACAATGTTTTACATTAAAGAATATGTAAACCCAACATTTCATATTCCTAATATGTGCCTTCTGTGCCATGTGAAAGTATAATGTTGTCTTTGTATTGCTTCCTTTGTGTGAAATTCCTGGAGTTGCTGCCAGTCCCCTTGATCTCCTATATTTTTTTTTTTAACTGACCACACTAGGCATGCAAACACAGTGTGGTCAGTTCTCTATCTGTGAAGAGAACCCATCCTTCTCTCCTCCAATGATCACTCTTGTACTGACACGCCCCCCTGCACAGCCATTCACTGGGAAGATCAATATCTGCTGTTTCTCCTCCTCTAGCTTTCTGAGCTCCTTATGCATCTGAAAACAGATGGTATGTGATCACTTATAAAAAAAAAGAAAAGGTAAGGGATTTATAATGTTTTTTTATATGTATACACAAAACTTTTGCCTTTCGTTTCTATTTTTAACGGAATGGATTAAACTGAGGGTTTACATATACTACATGCAGTGGGTATAGAAAAGAATCACCCCCCTTTGAAATAATCACATTTTGTTGCTTTGCAGCCTAAATTGAAGACACATTCCGTTTTTTTGATTTATTTTTTTTTTTTTCTTCTGACATGTTGGTGTTATATCTTTCACTTGGACGTTATAAGCTGAACTGAATAAGTACAGCTGGATAAAACAAAAACTGTGTCTGTCTTCATATCAACACAAAGCAACCAAAATCTGATTATTTTAAAGGGGGAGGGGTGATTCTTTTTCTGCTCCTAAACACTGAGTTTTATAAGTGTTACTAAACCCAGGACCCTGCATTCACTATATCTGATCTCCCACAGTACACAGAACATGGAAAAGCAATTATTTTAGTAAATATAAACTGCTAAATACCTTTTCTCATCAGCAGTTAGAGCAGTCTTGTGGCTTCTACCAGTGTCAAGCCAAGAACTAGCTAAAGCTTGTAGGAGGAGTTTTCTTTCTTCTTAATGAAGATGCAAAACCCCTGACCCTCTCTCTGGACAGTGCTGATTGGCCCTGTGCTGATCACATGCACTCTCCCAAAAAAAACTGTTCTAGCAATACACATCAAACTGAGCATGTGCAAATGCCTACGGTTCAGTCTGTCTTATCAGGAGATAAGAGGTGGACACCTGAAAAAGGGGAGGAACAGAGAAGACAGGATGAAACGGCCTTTTTATACAATGCAGAAGATTAACCCCTTAGGTTCCACAGTGAGTATAACCAGCATATTTTACTGCATATACAGACTGATTTTACTGTTGTGGGTTTTAATAACACTTTAAAAAACACCTCTAGACTACAAAGTGTGCATGGACACATAGGATAACATTATTTGCTTCTAGAGGCAGAATAAAAACCTAAACACTGCTGCTAGATTTTTTTTAATCTAGTGTGCCTGAAGCCTTAGCTTTCTCTCCTAAACTTGCCCATCCTTATTCCATTGGTTGCTTGCATTTTTTTTATTGGTTGTGGACCTATGGGGGGAGGGGGCTTGTCTTTTGTATTTTTATTTTAACCCTAGGTTCACACCTAAGTGTTTTCTGCAGTGTTTTGCAGAAAGGCAGTACAGTCCATTTAACTGGGACCTGTTCACACCTGTGTGCTTTCACCTGGTGCATTTTTTGGAAAAGGTCAGGGACTTTTTTGAATGCAAAAAGTTGCGTTTGTGATTCTATAGACTTCAATGCAAATGCTGCCTAAAAGCATGTGTTGCATTTTTATGTGTTCTTTGATGTGTTTTGCATTTTAAATCTGCCTAGCGACAAGAAAACTTTATAAAATGAAAAAAAAACCCTGCAAAATACATAAAAAAAACGCAGCAAAAAAACAAGTGCAAAAACAAGCGGCTTGGGAAGTGGTAATGAGCGTCTTGATAACGCCCTGTGGGTGGGGCGAAACGCGTTGACGCACTTCCGTTGCCTGGTCCGTCGTCTGACGTCATTTCCGGTGAGTGGAGCGCACGCCGAGCGGTGCGTTCCAAGGGGCCATCTTAGCTTAGTAGATGAGTCTGTAGCTGAGGTCTGCCATCCTGCTGCACACAAAACTGTGGGTCTCTTACAAAAATCGGTGTACATGAAAAGTGGATCATTTTGGAAGAAAATCACTGTTGTTTTGAATAAAAGGCGGGCTATATCCCGCAAAAGAATGTGAGTGGGTCTGGAGAGATTATTTTGAGGAGAAATTACTACGGTATCACGCTATGGTCTTTTCTTCTTCCTGATTTTCCTTGGGGGATTCGGTGAGAGGAGTAAGGAGAAGAGGTACCTAGACATAAGAGGAAACAGCACTTGGAGGTCTCACAAAAAGTAAAGGGGTCCAGGAGCCCTTAATAATCCTGAAAGGCGTGTGACTCACCAATATCTGGTGAGTGCGGCTAATGTTGATTTCTGCACTGGTGCATGGTGAAGGGATCAATAACACGGAAGAACCAAATGAAAATTATAATTTAATTTGTTTTATTTTTGTCACGGGACTGTAATTATATATATATATTTTTTGGGATTTTTTTGATTTTTTTGTCACTTGATTTTTTTTTGTCACTGGACTTATGATTCTAATGTTTATAATTTTTTATATATCAATTTATTTATATATAATTTATTATATATATCTCTATCAGCACAGTAATGTTTTTTTAAAGCTGAGTAATGTAATTGACCATGTGGGTTTGCGCTGGTTTCATTGTTAAAAAGTTTTTTTGGTCTTTTGTACCTGTCCACAGCAGCATCCCACGGGGATTTGTGTGGTAAATAGGAAGTCCTGAGCGCTGAGGTTTTTGTTTCTTTACATAATTTGAGGTGTTATCACATTTTTGAAACTTAGCAGCTATGGATATTTTTAATTTTGCATCTCAGAAAAGGGTTAATATAGAGGATGTTTTTTTCACAGAATTATGAGCATATGGATTTAACTAAAGATTTTAGGCACCTTAAGAATTCATTGGACAAACAAATTAGAGCATGGTGGGATGTAGTCACCCTTGAAAAATATATAAAAGAGGGGATCACGCCTAGAAGGTTAAGGTAGGGAGGTGGGACCCAATGATGGTTTGATGAGTAAGGAATTGGATGAGGAATGGTTTTTCCTTTTTTTAACAATGTGGAAATGAAATTAATGGAACTTATTGTACAGAGAAGGAAAAGGAAACTTAAATTATTGGATGAGAAAATTCAAGAATTAAAAGATAAAATGACACCTTTCAATAATTCCAGTGAGTTTTGGAGATAAGGTTAAACAAAATCAGAATATGTTAAAAAAGTGGATGAAGATACACAGAAAAAAGAAAATTACAAAAATACTATCGGGATATGCAGGATTATAAAAATAATAATGTTTATAAATGGCAGGAAGATGTTACAAGTATTAATAGTGAATCTAGGAGCTCTTCACCAGGAACAGGAAATGAGAGGACGACAGGGAAATCACCTACGTCAAAAACAAAAATAAATCCCCTCAGGATAAAAGAAAATCCCCTATAAAAAATAAGGGACAAAATGGGACACCAAAATATAATGTGCCCAGTATATAACAGGTTTGAGCCTTTTAACAATTGGGGCAACCTAGCACCTCAGGAATATGGCTACCCTCCAATGAGGGAGGATTTTCAGAGGGGGGGGTAATGGGGGGACCCCCATGGAGAGGGGGTGGAGGAAGAGGGTCTTTTCAGATGAGGGAAGAGGAGGACCTTTTTATCCACCCAGGAGGGGAGGAGGGAGGGTGGAAACCTCCTAGAACCAACAAGACCCCTACTGGCCAAAAGGAGGGGATGCAGAGGGGGACAAGGAAAAAGAAAGAGGTCAACTTAAATCAAAGGATCTTCAATTTGAATGATTCTGTTTTAAATGAAGAAGAGTTAAAAGTTTTAGCATTAGGACTGAAATACGCACCGGACAAAAAACTGAATAAACTGGAAACTTATATTGATATACATAAGTTTGTAAGGAAAATAAATTTAAAGAAGTATTGGGCGAATAAAACTAATTTTGAGTATAATAGTGTTTAAAGGAGATGATTATTTTCTGCATACACAGTTGAGGAATAAATCGTGTTTAATCCGAAAATCTCTAATAATTGTTGTGTAGAAACGTTTAAAAAATGGTGGAACATGATCTGGAGGATTTAGCCATTCCCTTTATGAGAAAGAAACAAGATTTAGAAACTGGTATAAAAAGGTTGGAGGAAAATAAAAATATTGTATATAAGGCCAGCCGATAAGGGTGGTGGCCTGGTGGTACTAAACAAGGTAGATTATTATACAGAAACTAAGTAGATTGGTAGATGATGTTGAAACATATGAGTTGTTAAGGGGTAACCCTATCATTAAATATAAGAATCTGTTAGTAAAACATGTTAAAGAAGGGGGTAGAAAAGGAATACTTAACAAAAAAGAGATTAAAATATCTGGTACCTTCTGCTCCAATAACACCTGTGATCTACCAATTACCAAAAATTCACAAAGATCTTAATAAACCCCCCGGAGACCCATTGTTAGTGGGATAGATTCATTGTTTTGTAGACTGGGTGAATATGTGGATAAATTTCTGCAACCTCTAGTTCCTATGTTTCCAGCGTACCTGAGGGACAGTGGTGATCTGATTAATCTGATTAAGGGAATTAGGGAAGAGGGGAGATGTGTGATGGCTAGTGTGGATGTTAATTCCCTGTACACTAACATAAGGCATACGGATGCACTAGGAGCTGTTAGATGGGCCTTGGAGGCTAAGGCAGGTTTAAAATCACAGCAAACTGAATTTTTACTTAATAGTTTAAATTTAGCTATGTCACATAACTACTTTTGGTACTCTGGAAATATTATTAGGCAAGCAAGGGGCGTGGCCATGGGGGCCAAGTATGCACCATCGGTGGCAAACTTGTTCATGAGTAGGTGGGAAAGTGAAGCTATTTTCAAGAAAAAAAACTACAGAGTTGCTGGTGTATAGAAGATTTATCGATGACATTATTATAATTTGGAAAGGTACAAGAGAGACACTGGAGAGAGTTTATCCAAGAAATGGGGATTAATTCTTATAACATATCATTTACTAAAAATATTAGTGAGGAGGTAGTGGATTTTTTGGATCTGACAATTTACAAGAAAGATGACAGGTTCTACACCAAGACATATTTCAAGCAAGTAGACAGGAATGGATATATCCCAAGTTTTAGTTGCCACCATAAGAATTGGCTAAAATCCATCCCTAAGAGCCAGCTTATTAGGATCAAACGTAATTGTGATGATGAAGGTGTTTTTTTTGGAACAGGCTGAGGTGTTATTTGCAAAGGTTTAGGGAGACAGGTTATGGAGAAGATAATTTGGCTGTTTCATTAGAACAGGTTAAAAAGATTAGTAGAGATGAACTTCTTAAGAAAAAAGAAAGTAAAAATAAGTTGGGGGATGTGGCTTTTATCACAGGATAATTCTAAGCATTACAAATTAGTTGAAAACATATTTAAAAAATATTGGTCTATTTGATGAGAGGGATGAAATCCTTGGGAAAGTGTTACCTAGTAAACCCTTGTTTATATATAGGAAACCGACTACTTTAAAGGTCTAGACTTGTTAAAAATGTTCCAGATGTACCTAAGAAATTGGTTACTTTTTTGGATAGGGCTGGTTTTTTCAGTGTGGGAGGTGTTTGGCTTGTA